TTTTTTTTTTTTTTTTTTTTTTTTTTTGGCAATGTTTACAAGTGCTCTGGGGCCAACTATGACTACAACCAGATCTCTGATGACAGTATGACCCATGGCATTGAGAATGTATTCATTTCTACCAAGAGTGCTTTCCTCTGCAATAGATGGTGACTTTGTGTTAAAGTGCAAAGGAAGCTTCTGTGTGTGTGTGTGTGTGTGTGTGTGTGTGATGTAATTCCCAGCATCTCCTTCCACTTCTACATTGCCTCTCTTCTGCATACACTCAAGCAAGCACCTAAGAAAGAGTCTCTGTCATAAGGCAGGATTTTGAACTTTGCTAAATGATAAACAAGATGAGTGTAAATACTCTGTAACTCAACAATATTTGAGTTGCTTAAAAGCAATTGTCCTCATTTCATTACAGGCAGAGCATGTCTACTTCCACCCACTCAGGTAAGAAAGGGAAATCAGTAGTTAGTAATTAACAAACACGAGTATGAGTGCCTATTTCTTAACTGGATAATTTAGTTGACCCCCTGCCACTTGGTTCGAATTTGCCTCCAGCTGAAGAAGCCCAGCGAGAAAGTCTTGACCCAGCGCCTGGAATCCGTGGCTACACCTTCTCAAATGCACACCCTCTCTGTCCTTGGGTAGAGGAAAGTCTCCCAAGTCTGAGAATGTGCCTCCAGGTGAGTCAGTCTGGCCGCGTCTCTACTGAAAGCAATCTTGGGGGTGCAGCCCGGACTCCTGCAGGGGAATCTTCTAATCGCTACCGCGGACGGGGGAGAGCCGGGTCTCCTGCTGGCTTCCCAGCTGCTTGGTTCCTGACCTGTCAGGAGCCTACAGAAGAACAAAAACAGCCCAGAGATGGTTCCTACACTCTTGCCCCCTTGGGTCATCCCTAGAAGGGGCGTCGGGAAGCGGAGCAAACCTCCCTTGGGATTTGCCCAAAGTGGCGGGAGGAGGTTAACATTTGCTTTGTTATTGGGGAAAGGGAAAGCAAGCACGCCTGGACTGTGTGAGTGTGTGCGCGCGCGTGCGTGCATGTGTATGTGTGTGTGTGCGTGCGTGCGTGTGTAAGAGAGTTGTTTTTGTAGAGGAAAATAAGCAAAGAACAGGAATAGGGAGAGGCCGGTGCCCAGCTCCCCTCGGGGCCTCTGTGAGCCGTACACCCCGTAATTCCCTTCCTTGAGCCTTACAGATTTCCACAAACAATGACATCACTCCGGCGCCGCCGGCCTGATTACAGCTGGGGGGATTTTCCTGGGTGCGAGGCCGCCCAGGCAGAGATGGGGGAGCTCTCCGGGTGCTGAAAGGCGTGAGGGGCACGGACTCGAGGCGCTGCGCCCCCAGCCGGCGGAGGCGGACCGGCCCGGCCGGGGGCGGGCGGGGGCGGGCTCGGGGCGGCCCAGGGCGGGGCCCGCTGCTACTCCGGCCTTCATTGGCCGCTGTCGGGCGCACGTCACCCAGGCTGGTGCTCGACTCCAGCCCCAGTGGAATTGAAGCCGAGGAGGAGCTGAAAATGCAGATTTAGCATCAAGCACAGACATACACTCGCTCTTTCTCTCCGGTACACACAGCTCCCCACATTCGCACCCCTGCCAGCAAGCCGGGCCGCCTGACTACACAGCCTCCCCGCCAGCCAGATGCTGGAGGAGAACACACACTGATTTGCTGCTTTCCAAGCCCCAATTCAGTCTTTCTTCATACAAAGATTTTTTTAAACAACAACAACAACAAAAAACTACATATCTATTTTTTATTTGCACCTTCCCCTTCGGGTCCCCTGCTCCACCAGCCTGCGCTCCTTCTAACCCCACTTTTCACTCCCAAAGAAGGATGAAGGGTGGTTGTGGCTCCCAGTGGAAGGCAGCCGCTGGGCTCCTCTTCTGTGTCATGGTTTTTGCATCTGCCGAGAAACCAGTCTTCACGAATCATTTTCTTGTGGAGTTGCATAAAGGGGGAGAGGAAGAAGCTCGCCAAGTTGCAGCAGAACACGGCTTTGGAGTCCGAAAGGTAAGATTTCCCATGCATTTCGCATGTTGTTTCAAAACGAGAGGAGCCCTGCGCAATCTCCTTGCAGATTTGCAAGTTTGCTCTCTTTTTCATGCGATGCAGATATTCTGCCATCGGCTCTTTAACACGACATTGCCTCCGGTGATTTTTTTTACGGGTTATGTAATTAAAATGTCCTTCATCTGTAGTAGTAAGGTCATCAAAATAATTTATTGCTCTTTGACTTGGTAGTGAAAATAGGATAACACATCGCAAAGAATGCCATGCGCCCGGGCTGCTGTCCGAGGTACCAAGTTCTCGAGATTGCATGGGGACGAAGAGATGAAGCCCTGGGCTTGATGTTGGCTGCTTTGCCAGGGACGTCTCCCCCACCCCCATCTCCCGAAGAAAGAATAGTTTCCCACCGACAGGGATCAAATATTGCACATTGTAATTTACCTCGCCGCTCCCTGACCCTGCGCCTGGAGGACTTTCCTCCCAGTGCCTTCGTTCCCTGCCCTTCTGGGAACAAGAGCTTCCTGACTCTAGGAGACTTGAACCCATGAACTGGTCTCTTTCCAAAATCCGGGCAGAACTTACACGCTGTCGCCCCCTCCCCCCCCCCCCCCCCCCCCCCCACGACCACCCACCCCCCGGAGCGCACTCCTGTTTGGCTTCCTAGTTCCCAACTCCGGGTGTAGGAGTGGAGCAGAAGTAGATTTTGAGGGGGATTCCCTTCTGAGTAGTCGAGGTGCCCTCTCCTAATATGTGGGCGGCCAGCCTGGCTTTCCCAGGAAAGCGCGGGGATCCCCATTCCCAGAAGTTGTCAGAGTTCAATTGTTTAGGAAGCTGGATGAGGCTCCCAGCCTCGGACGCCTCCGCACTCCTTAGGGGACTCCGGGTGCCCATTTTGAAAGGAGAGAGGAGAGCTCTGGGCAGGGGCCGGAGCTGACTGGCTTGCTCTTCCCGCTAAATAATCTGTGTCGGTGATCTCGAGTGTCCATAGAAGAAGTGCGGCCAGTTGGGGTGGAGTGAGGATGAGGGAATATGCTGGGGCAAGGGGAACCCAAAGGACAGAGAGGTGCAGTTTGGCTACCAGAGGACTGGGTGTAGGTCAGTAAGATTGCAGGCACTATCTCTTCGCTCCAGATCCCACGAGGAGAGACGCCTGAGATAAGGCAGGGGATGCTCTTAGTCGTTGCTTTTGCCTTGAAGGGCCGCGCGGACTGGGGCTCCTTAAGCGTCTCTTCTGTCCCGACTCTTAATGCCTCCCGCCTTTCTCCCAACCACAGCCAGTGCTCCTTCAAGTGCTGCGGGCTCTCCCGCCTCCGTAGGGCGTAGGCACCCGCAGCGATTTTCACCCCAGGTGTGTTTGGCAAGAATTTGACAGAGGTCTTGGAGGAGGCACTGGGTCTGCCAGTGGCGCGCGGGCGGGTCTCACAGAAGAGAACTTGTTGCTCCCGGGAAGCGTGGGTGGAGCAGGGACGAGAAGGCGCCAGCCGGGGGAGCAGTCCCTTGTCCTTCTGGCCCAGGGCCTGGAGGCTGTTTCCAGAGCGCTTCCAACACCATAAACAAGCAGCTTCCCCTTCTTTCTCCCTTCTCTAAATTTGGCAAGACCCAGGACCCAGGCGCCATTATAAGATGTAACAGTGATTATTAATAACTGACAGTTATTGGGAACCTTTATGTATTGGAGTCCTTAAGTAACATAGCAAACCAAGGGAGGTGCTTGCAGGGTTTGTGGGCTTTGGGGTGTGATGAAAAAGGATCCTTAATTCTTGAGTGTAAAGGGTTGCAGCTGATGCAGATGTACCTGTGGCTCCCTCTCTCTGCCAGGCACAGTTTCCGAGGGCAAGCAGATATTGCTATTAGTTGGTTTATCTCCCCTTTTCCTCCTTCTTTGAAAATATGCCCTTAAGGGTGGATCTACTGAGAGAGAGAGAGAGAGAGAGAGAGAGAGAGAGAGAGAGATCCCTAGCAGAAAAGGACCAGGAGTGGAGGGCAGGGAGGGAGGGGGAAAGTTCTGGGGAATGATAATGGCCAAATTATGTTGTTATGCTGTGTGCATGTATGAATATGTAACAACAAACCCCATCAATGTGTACAACTATAACGCACCAATAAAAATATGAAAAAAGAGAAGAAAAAGAAAATATGCCCTTATATCTGATCTTGGAAACCTAATCACATTTAGGTATAGCTGAGACTGATAATGGCTTAACTTATTAATTCTCTGAGAGGTTTTAATTTTTTTCCGTAGGAACAAACAGCTTAATGAGGGATTCACAGTTTTGATAATGGAATGCAAGCAAGAAAGTGTAGAGACAATCCCATCAAATATGAATCATTTCAGTAGATTTATTTTAAAAAATGACAAGGTGGTTGTGTTTGGGGGTAAAATCAGATAATAAGGCCTCTTTCTCCCCTATTCTTCCTTGGAGAGGAGCCCACTGATTTTGCATCACAATCTCCAATCTGCAATTTCTATCTGGGAGGAATGGGAATCATCTGTCTCCTAAACTCTCCATAACCTCTCAGGTAGTACCAGTTAAACAATTCCAGTGATCTTTGCCTTGATAGACATTTAAGCAACAATAAGTCTATGATGAGATATTTCTGCAGGTTAGACTGCATTGCACAACACCTTTCTGGACTAAACCCTCTTTTCCTCCTTTGTATCCATGTGTTACCCATGCTTCACACCTTAATCTGAATCTTCCCTGATGTTATGGAACAAAATAAGATTTCTCCAAACTCCTATGGGGCCAAATGGTAAAGCCTGCAGGACAGAAGTTAGTATCACTTGTGTCCTGTGTCATCGTGTGTAAAGATGAGTGTAGCTACTTTCCACTGAAAAGCTAAATATTCAGGGATGATACTATCTGTATTTCTGGTGTCCTCACCATAACCAGCACATTACTGTGCTTGCCAGCCTTTGACAAAACTTTCTCAGTTTTATTATTTCAGATTTCCCACTGTCCTATTTTGCTTACAGTATATCACCCTGTACTTTTGCTGATTTCTGTTATCTGTTTTGCATTTTAAATTCCCATATGACCTTCTCCTTTCATGCTGTGACCCCTCAAAGCTTCTCAACTCCCTTCTGAACCATGCAATAGTGTGTCAGATACCAAAGAGTCTCCATGGTCATTTATTCATCCACATGAAGGGACAGCAATGTAGACTAAGAGAATCTGCTACTTTGCTAAATTATCTCATTTGAACCTCAAAAATCTTGTGGTAGAAATTTTTGGCATTAACCCTCATTCTCAGATAAAAATCTTAAAGATATAAATCTTAAAGAGTTTAAGTGACTTTTTCCATAGCTGCAAAATAAAGGAGCTCAAATTTAAAGTTAAATTTGCTTGAAGGAAAGTAATTGTTTTTCTATATCATGCTGCCTCCAGGAAGCCACCCTGACAACCAAGAGCTGTGCCTTAAGGACCATTTTATAATTCTGATATTTCCCCTTTCTTTTCTTTCCGTTTCACCTTTTTGAATATTTACCATTTATTTTATATCAACATATGAGCTATGTTATCAAATAGTGTATGTGTACATACTTCTTCACATGGATTATAAATCTTCCAAAAGGAAAAGTGACATAATTTTCTATCCCCAATATCTAGCATAATGTCCTATATATGACATATTAGAACAGTACTAGTCAATTATTTAATGATTTTATTCTTATAAGACCATTAGCAAACATTTATTTTCCTTTTAAAATAGAGTAAAAATATCTATGCTTACTTTTTGAAAGGTTTGTGGAGGGTAAATTTTTTTTATTAATATAACCTGAGGGTGTGAGCTTACAATAATGGCAAAGGCATGATTACAAAATTTAAATTCTTTAATTTAAATTCTCAATACACCACAAATTCCAATTCCCTTGAAACAGAAGCAAATTATTTATTGAAGCAATGTTCTGAGGATTGGACAAAAACTAAGAGTTAAGTTTAAAAAAAGTCAGGAGTTAAGGTTTAAAAAATGATTAGGAATTTTTGTTTTATTATGGTCTATTTTGCCTTTAGAGGATTAATGCTGGGGTGATTACACAGGTAAAATCACCTAACCATTTTTATATGTGAGAATTTTTAAATTCTAAAAATAATCAACTAATAATTGTGCTATCAAGTAATAAAATTAATTTCTGATCATTTTACTTTTATGGATGTATAATATAATTAAATTTAGGAAAGAGAGCAGCTTAATATTTTCACAAAATGAGCACACTTGTGTAATCAAAACCCAGACTGGAAACAATAGTACCAGTATCCATAAGGCCCCTCCTGCTCACTTGGGTTTTGGCTATTATAAATATAATAGCTATAGGAAGCTATGCTGTGAGAACACAAAGGTGGCTTCCAGGAGCTGCAAGTGGTCCCTGCACAGCAACCAACAAGAAAATGAAGACTTTATATCTAAAACTGTAAGGAATGAAATTCTTCTAAAAACCTGAATATGCTCAGAAGTGGATTGTTCCTTTGCAATGCCTCTGAGCAGACTGATACCGTTTTGGCTACTATAAATATTGCTTGGGTGGATATCAAAGTACGTTAGCCATTCATATCCAGGCAGTTTTATATCCAAAAATTCAACCAAATATTTTCAAATATCAGGAAATATTTGAAAAAATATTGTGTCTGTACTGAACATATACAGGCTTTTTTCTGTCATTATTCCCTAAATAATACAGAATAATGACTGTTACATCGCATTTACATTGTATTAGGTATTGTAAGTAATTAGAGGAGACTTATAGTACATAAGGAAAAATGTGTGTGGATTATATTGCAAATTTATACCATTTTATATGATGCCATCCTGAAACCAATCCCTGTCAGATAACAAAGGATGACTGTATATGTATTTGGTGAATGAATGTGCGTGCGCCTTCTTTTGGGGATTCCTAGGAAGGGAATTGCTGAGTATGCATACATTTGGCTTTAGGAGATTTCATTGGTTTTCTACTGCTACAGAACAAATCACTAGAACTGAGTGGCCTATAACCACACAGA